CCTAACCCTAACCCTAACCCTAACCCTAACCCTAACCCTAACCCTAACCCTAACCCTAACCCTAACCCTAACCCTAACCCTAACCCTAACCCTAATATAAGTTTAATTATATATAACTTTTAAAATTAGATTCTTTTTTTACAATACTACTAGACGTATACAAACTACTAGACTTATATATGTTATAGGCGGAAAGAGGCTTGCTAACAAGTATGCATTTGTCCTATATACAGAAGAAGAAAGATAGAGAGAGAAAGAAGTAATAGTACTTTTCTCTTTTTATAGCGTAAAGCGTTCGTACGCTACTTGTGCTAAGAGTGTACAGAGAAAGGTTCCTCTCTTCCCGGCGTCTGTTGTACGACTCACCGGCGTAGCCTCTTACAATATAAACTACTAGATGTATACAGTCTACTTAACGTATACAAACTACTAGACGTATATTAAATAATAAGCGTATAAAACTTTAAAAACTTAAAAATAATTTGTTTTTTTAGAAAAGTACTAGACTTACAAAGCTACTAGACTTTATTCTCTACCCCGCTTCTAAGTGCTAACCTCGGCTATTACCTTATTTTTAAACTATCTACTGCTAGAGTAGGTCTTTCTTCTTTACTACCTCTATACTATGGCTTCTTTTCTTGAAATTCAGCCTCTTGGTGACTACCTATGCTATCTCCCAGCATACAGCTTAATTGTCTGTAAAGACCATAGCGCTGTACGCAATTGGAGAACTCACCTATCACGTAGCCACAAGGTTTCAAAGGAGAGCCAACGTCAGCTAAACACCCAGTACCAAATTCAATCTCTACCGCTCTCAACCCCAGAGAATCACCCTCTCCCTCCACCAAACCAACCGCCAATTTCAGTACTAGGCCTACCTATCCCAGGATTCGCCTGCAGCTATCAAACCTGTACCTTTCTAACAGCAAATCGCCAAAGCATAAAGAAGCACTACAATAAAGAGCATAACTGGATTTCAAGCCAGCAAGACCGCCAGCCATGGGCCTGTATTCAGGTCCAGACTTTCTTTCGCTCAAGCGGCTTGCAGCGCTACTTTCAAGTGCAATCTCTTCCTGCAGAAGGAAGTAGCTTGTCTACATCTACCGCTCTGGACGCTGTATCTAAAATTTCACAGCAAATTCAGATCTCACAGGCGCAATATACAGAGTCACTCGCTATAGCAGACGCTGCAATTGCCAAAACTGACCACACTGGCTGGTTCAACAGGAATAGGTGGCTAATTCACCTTGCCCGCTGCAATCTGCTTCACCTAAGCCAGGCTAGCCGCTTGCCTGACAAGAATGAACCTACACTTAGCCAGGCGGCTCACGTTGTTGAGCGGGCAGTAGAGCAGGCGGTTGCTGGGCTATCCACACTTGGTCTTGAAACCCGGCGCTGGCTAAGAAGCCCCAACGCTGAGCAGATAGATACCCGCCCAATGGCTCGCCTGCAGAATTCAGACAGCCAGAAGCGGTATGCTGGCTACATAAAGCGTTTTATCTGCTACTTACTGCGGGTACATGAGGCTCAGCAATCAGGCGGCGATGGGGATGAGAGCGACAGCTTCTACAGTCAGCTGGGACAGGAAAGCAACTCAGATTCAGACTCTGGCATTCAGAGCAGTGACCCCAAGGACAGAATGCGCGATGCAAAGAGGCTGTTCCCATGGTCTGGCAACCAGAAACAACTTACCCAGGCCTTTGTAACCGCTCTGCATCTAGATCCTGAAGAGGCCCAGATTGCCTGTCTACTTCGCTTGTTAGAAGGATTTATCTTCCAGACTACAGGAGATGAACCTTTTGAGAGTGGATTAATTCACTTCCTGGCCGTATTAGGCATTGATGAGTCTACCAAACGTCCTAGAGCCGCCCCTGATTTCTCTTACATGTTAGCAGGGGTGGTTTACTGTACACGCGTGTTGGCTGTTGAAATTCTGCTCCCAGCTGCCACACGTAAGGAGAGGCAGCTACGTAGTCAAGAGCGGGAAAATTTCATCACAATAAGAAGGAAATACCTGGTAGATGGGTCATATAGCCCATTTAGCGAGATGCTAAGCCTTCTGGCTTACTCAAAGCATATCGCCTTGAACGCTGCAAACACCCCAATGTCAATGTGGTCTAATAACCGCGATACTCTCTACCTACGTGGTCAGCCAATTCAGTTGTTAGCTTTTCAAGCCATGGTTGCTGGCGTACTACAAAAGGCGGAAAACTACCTATGGGAAGAATTGCTGTGGACGCCAGCAAGGGGAGACCGCTTCTAGATACCGCTTGGAAGGATTCAGGACAACGTTACCTTTAGCTAGCGTAGCTACTCATTCCTTTCACATCCTGAAAATAACCTGACAGGTTGCTGGGAAGCAACCCTATCTAAAATGCTACAAAGCCCCCAGGGCCGCAAGCTATACAACACCAATAATTCAGCCTGGAAGCCCCAACTAGTTCGACGCTACCTTCGCCGGGTTGAGAGGTTCCTTGAATACCTGCTCTTCCTTACCCACGTAACAGGCGGGCAGCCAGCACGAGGTACTGAAGTTACCACTACACGTTTCCGCAATGGCTATGTACAGGATCGAAATATCTATGTTATAGACGGCCAGGTGGTTTTTATCAGTAGATATCACAAAAGTCAGGCAATGTGGGATAAGCCTAAGGTGATAGCGCGCTTCTTGCCCTGGAGAGTCGGTCAGTTATTCGCTGTCTTTCTAGCCTATGTCCAGCCGCTTGCTGAATACCTTGAGGGCGAGAGACTTAACAGAACCCCCACAGATTATGTGTGGTCTGGCAATACTGGCCCCTGGGAGACAAGTCGGCTTAGCCAGATTATCTCCATAGAGACCCGATGTTGGCTAGGCTGCAGGCTTACTACCCTTGAATATCGCTATACAGCTATCACAATTGGGAGAGAAGTGGTTAGTAAGGAGTTTGGTGAGGGCACTTAAGAAGCACTTACAGAGGGGGATTTAGAGGAGCCTGAACAGCAGCTTGAAAGCGGCCTTAATCTCTAGGCAGGTCGTTCTGAACTCACCGGCACGCTACGCTATGGCGTTGAGATGGGCATTGTTTTACACCTTAGCTACCGCTCAGTGCAGGTGTTTCGTGATCTAAGCAGTAAGTGGCACCGCTTCCTCCAGTTGTCAAGCACGCTACCTAACCCGCTTACGCCAGTAAGCATAGCCAAAGCTGCTGGTATCTCACGCCAAAATCAAGGCCCGCCTGCAAAATCTTTGCCAGCACAGCCCGCGCAGGACCAAGCAGAGCCTGCGATAGTTACTAATTCAGAAATTCAAATTCTGGTTCAAAAGGTGGTTCAAAAAGAGGGACTAATTACCTTCAAGTCACTGGAGCAGGAAATTGCCCTGCGCGCTATCCTGGCTGGAGAGACACCGCTTGTTGTTGTTCTTCCAACAGGTGGCGGGAAGAGTCTTCTCTTTATGGCGCCTGCGTGCCTCTCGGACCTAGGGGTTACTATTGTTGTTGTCCCATTCCGTGAGCTGCTGAAAAACCTGAAAACGCGGTTAGCTGAGGCGAAAATTCCAGCTACAGAATGGATACCTGGACTTTCAGCTAACGGCCTGGCCCCAATAATTTTGGTTAGCGCAGACGCTGCTGGGAGCTTTGAGTTTCTTACCTTTGCTACCCTGTTAATGCAAGGCGGCTGGCTTAGGCGCATTGTTGTTGATGAATGTCACTTGACATATACCAGCTCTGACTGGCGCCCAAAATTAGCCCACCTCGCCCGGCTGCGTGCTATTAAGGCCCAATTCATCTTACTTACCGCTACGCAACCACCTCTACTTGAGTATGAATTAGGTGCAGCTATGGCACTTCGCAGCCCACGATATATTCGCGCCCCTACTCTGCGCCCAAATATCCGGTACCTGGTCCAGCGATGCCAGCCAGGAGGGCTACTCAAGGCAGCCCAGGGAATCGCTACACGTTGGTTAGCTGGGCTGGCTGGCAAACAGAAGGCAGTTATTTACGGCAAGTACAAAGATACCTGTGAAAAGCTGGCCCAACAATTGAAGTGCAATTACTACCACGCTGGCCTGGACGCTGATGACCGTTCAGGGGTTCTGAAAGCCTGGCTCCAACGCGGTGGGCTTATAACAGCCACGTCATCTCTTGGTACAGGTGTTGATTATCCTGAGATTGTCAGAGTACTTCACGTGGATACGCCTTATGGCGCGATGGATTTCGCCTAAGAATCAGGGCGTGCTGGTCGCGAAGGGCAGCTGGTAGATGCAGTCATATTAGTTGAAAGCCCTCGTCAGAAAGCACCTGCACTGGACATACTAGTAGACCATTCGTGGCATGCACTTGACGAGGCCGCTATCTAGGAATTTATCAATCCCCGCCTGGGCGCCTGTCGACGGAGTATCTTGAGCCTCTTCCTGGACGGTTAGTTAGTTACATGCACTTAAGCCCAGGCAGCCAATTGCGACCTTTGTGGTAAAGGCAGTACAGAACTTACTAATGTCTTGAAACAGGACGCCCAAGAAGAAGCCAAGCTGAGAAACACCCTGCAAGAGTTAGTTAACGGCTGCCCAGTCTGCTGGCTAAGAGGCTCTCCAACTTGGCTGGATCACTTACACTCACATTGCGAATGGTGTACAACCGTTGAACAAGGCCTGAGCGTAGAAACCTGCGACTATGTTAGAGCCCGCAAGCTTTGGTGGGATCAAGGGAAACGGGGGGTTTAGAGTACACACACCTGCTGGAAATGCGGTATAAGCCAGCACTTCTGCGCTACTGGGCAGGACGAGGCCAGGCCCTGTTAGTGGCTAGGGGTGATGATTCCTGTTCTTGTTAGCGTGGCCTACTGTTTGACAATATCAGGAGAAACCCTACATAAAAAGCTGGGGTTTCCGAGATTTAACAGCATTAAGACCCCAGAGGATATGCTGACTGGTAATTTCTACTGGCTTGCAAAAAAGCACGGCTGTCGAAAATGGGGTTATGTTGTGAGCAACGCTATGGTTGTCTTGGCGGCTGTCCTGACCTATTCTGACGTACGGGAGGAGATTAGTCGTTTGCTACGCCGCGATAGTGTTAGTTTACATGCAGTGTCACCGGCTACCTGCTAGCCAAACATCGAATAGGTGTTGTCTTGGCAAGAGGTTTTAAGTCCTCCAAACATCTATGCTGCTGAGAGTTGTAAAGGAATAGGCCGCCAAAGGGAACAGAATAGATCTATCTCGCAATAGTTATACTGCTTGACAGGATAGTGCCCCACCAGCGCACCTATCTATGTCGCCCACCGCTAGCGAAGCGACCCTAAACTATTCTGTTTGATAGGCTATGGGGTTGGATTTGCTCCATTTCCTCTGCTCTGCCGAAGCATCACAGAGGTCGGAGGGTCCCTAAGACAGGGTCTCCACAAGAAACTGAGATTTTCTACTATATATGCATGACGCTTCGCGAGTACCCCTAAAGGTACAGAAAGTAGGATACAATCGCCAGCTGGGTTTCCCCGAGAGCACAGTTAGATACACGTCTAACCAGCCCTACTAACTCTTAATTGTGGATACTGATATAGAATTAAATTGCAAGGGGGTTTTAGGGACGAGGGAACATAACATCCAGCACCCTGTGACGAGCCACAGGGTGCCTTAGTACGAAGAACAAGTGGTGAATATTACTCACTCAACCCGAAGGAAGGAGGTAATTGGAACGGGACAGGACAGGACAGGACGGGACGGGACAGGACGGGACGTAGTTAAAACCATATTACTGATTCGGCTGAGATAATCTTTTTGTCAGAAGACCAATATTGCCAACTTGGCTGGGGCTAGAACCACGTTCGCACGGCGTTGGACAAACCAACAGTGCAACTCTACAACATTTCCTCCCAGCCTCTCAGAGACCAGTTATGTGCGAGAGTATGGCCTAGCACTATTTTACTAAAGTAAAATGCTAATTATCTTTTGGGAGGGTTTTTGGGGAACGCCTACGCATCTCGTCGCACTAACCCTGGTTTACCGACTACTATTTTGCAGTAGAGCCTTGGCTGTAGCTTATACATTCCCTAATCTGCCCTCTTAGAGTTGATACCCTGCCTGGAACCTCAAGTATTCAATCGGTGTTACCCTCTCGAATACCAAAAATCTGTTTAATAATATTCCTCCGCAGTACCGCCTTCCTTGGATGGGGTAGCCGTTTCTCAGGCTACCTCTCTGGAATTGAACCCTAATTCCCCGTTACCCGTTGAAACTATGGTAAGCCAATACCTTACTATCGAAAGTTGATAGGGCAGAAATTTGAATAAACCGTCGCTAGCGTAAGGCTATGCGATCTGTAAAAATTATTATGAACCACCCAAAAGCCCCGAAGGGCATTGGGCTTTGATCTAATCAACGCATCTCTTCCGAAGTCGGGGTTTTCAGCATGTATCAGCTCTAGAATTACTACGGATATCCAAGCGGTAAGGTATTTTCAAATAAACGATAACTGATTTAATGAGCTATTCGCAGTTTTACGGTATAATTTGCCCGCACTAGGATTCGCATTACTGCACAACTCTAGGCGTGCACCGCCCGAATCCCCCCTAGGGAGGTTTCAACGCGGTATAAATTGCTTAATCTTGAAGACAAGCATACGAGTTCCCCAGTTATTTCCTCTGGTGTAGCGAGAAAGGCGTTTCCCCCGATGCAAGCATAACTAGAATTAATTCCTGAGGGGAGAGGTTACTTGGAAGCTCACGCACACGAAGCGCGGATAGCTAAATTTTACCTCCCCTTTCAAGATTGCGCCTCACTTCTGGGGAAGGAAGTAAGGACCTTTTTAGTTGTTTAGATAAGCAAGGACCATGTCTCCCGGACTAAGAACTATCACGAGGCCGCAAGACCTCGTGATACCAAACGGATTATCCGTTACGGATAGAGCGGGGATTACGTGTATAAATAAGCTTTCACCAGTCGCCTGCAAAATCTGAGACAGTCGCCGAGCCCTGAGTAACGCGCTGGCCAGAGTTAACGTCGCTGCAACCGATACCCCTGGAAACAAGGCTTGAAAGTATGATACTAATTTTGAATAATGCAGTTAAGACTACGTTGAAGGTTTGAGCAGTCGAAGACACTCAAGTCCCCTAGACTACCAACCAGACCTCTCTACCAAACACTGGAAGATAGAGAGTTAAACGTCTAGAGTTACCGCGACGTTGATCTGGCTGGGAGGGCATTACGCGCGCCTCTGGATTGCTTCCTTCCTGCAGCTTGACCACTGTCCCCCCCGAGAGGTCACGTTTTTTCAGGGCGGTGTCTAAATTCCCCCAGGTAGCCCGGTTGCCCAGGCACCCAACGTTTGTAGGCGCCCCAACGTATCGAGGCACCCAACTGCTGTTGGCGCCTATCCTTAAGGATGGGCGCCCGTCTACTATCCCTCAGTCAAGCTTGCCATCATGAAAACCCCCAGAACCGTTGAAAGTTTCACCGGTCGAAGACACTTAAGTCCCCTGGACGGCTTGCTTTCTGCACCTTGATTACTGTCCCTTGAGAGGGTACGTTCTTGCAGGAGGTAGCCCGGTTGCCCGGGCACCCAACTGCGCGCCTATCCTTGAGGATAGTCGCTCGCCTTCTACCACCTGTCCATTTCGTTATTATCATCCCCCGGAGTGAGAGCCTACCCATCAACCAACGCACTCTTGGCAAGCTGAGATTCGGGTGTCTTAACTGGCCGTCGGCTTCGGTCGATAATTGGGTGCCCTCTTATGTAGTGTAGGAACAGCGTTCGGCTCGAGATTCGCGTTGCGGGGTTTAGGTGGCGGAAAACAGCTCGGAGGTGCGGTTTCTTGTATAGGAAACCGTGTAGACATGCGCAGCCCCATACAAACCATAAAGCGATTCCGCAAAGTATAGAGTCTAGTAGTTCGCGCCAGGTATACTGGTTTCCAGCATGGACTGGCTCATACAAGCTGTATACCGATCGATATCGCAAAGTTTTGAGTCTAGTAGTTTGCGCAAGGTCTAGTAGTTTGCGCAAGGTCTAGTAGTTTGCGCAAGGTCTAGTAGTTTGCGCAAGGTCTAGTAGTTTACAACGTTATATGTTGATATCTCTATAAGTAGAGCAGCTATTTACAAACTAAATACAGATTTGAAATTGTGGCGTAATTCTATATTAAATTGTGTGGCTAGAGCGCTGCAATAGTGGCTGTGCAGCGTGCAGTCACGTGAGGAACAT